TTGTCTTTTTGAGACAGGGTCTCCCTGTAGCCCAGCTGTCCTGGAACTCATTATGTAGACCAGGCTGGCCTTGAACTCACAGAAATCTGCTTGCCTCTGCCTCCAAGTGCTGGGACTAAAGGTGCACACCATCACACCTGGATTGGCTACCTGTTTTAAAAGTAGAACTATAAAGGTGACTGGCACAAGTTCTGTGACAAATGTGCCCTAAAGGGCACTTCACCCTGTTTTGTTCCATCCCTCCCTACTGATGTGCCTCAAATAGACTTGGTTCCGACCCAGTTCTGACTCTCACACTTGCTGTGTGCCTTGAACACGTTGCTGTTCATGCTCCCTGTCCTCTTCTCTTCTTGTTTTAAAGTGGGAACATTCTTACTTGGAGGTTTGTGTGCATAAAAACTGTGGCCAGTGTAGACACTGAAATGACAGGCTAAGCTTCCCTACTAGATTCCACGGGCGTGAGCACTGACTGAATCTAGCCACAGGGACCAAAGGAAGTTGTTTCTGTTGTTGCTGGCCAAATTCTGCCCAGCTGCCTCTATGTAGGGTTGGGCAGAGGGTGGTATAGGGAAAAGAGAACTCAGGGCATGAACTACATACAATCTAGCTCCACCTCGGATTTGCTGTGTGACCCTAGGCAAATTACCTGCCCCTCTCAGGGCCACAGTCATTCTCTCTGGATTTTTAAGCTGTCTGCTTCCTGCTGCCCTCAGCTCCTGAACCTCAAGGACTTCCAGTTGGCTCCCGCATGCAGGGCAGGGCAGGGCAGGGTGGCAGGAGCGGCGCCTTAGGTGCTAGAGAAATCCGGACTTACAACACTTGAGAGTTGCTGGGCATGGCTGAGTCTCCCCTAACCCTCCTTCAAAAGAGGCTTTTTTTTTCAGAGAGAGCTAGCAGCCTAGAGTGTGGGGGAAGGGCCTTCAGTGCCTGGGCTGGGCTCTGAGCTAAGAATAATGTGGCCAAGGCTCTTGACATTTTTTTGCTGATGTTGGGAATTTAAAGGAGCCGTGGCCTTTCTTTCCTAAAGAGAAGGAGTCAGCCAGTTTCCACGCCTCCATTGCTGGCCTGATGTGGTTTCACCCAGTGCCTTTTTTCTGCATTGCCCTGGGCTGGGAGCTGGGGACCCAATGGAAGAAGGGTGAGGCCGTCCTTGCCAAGCCTCTATTAAATCTCTAACAGTCCTGGGTGATAATCCAGACACTGCAACATGAAAGGCTGTGGAGAGGCTTCTGACCTGCTCTGAGCCTCCGGAGGGGGTCTAGGAAGCTGCCAGAGGATCTCTAGCTCCAGCCACTTCCCCAGGCCTCAGCTTCACTGCCTGTAAATGGAGGGCATCTGTCTCTACTTTTCACCCCCTAGGGTTCTGGGTTTGTCTAACAGGGTGAGCCTCAGTTTATCCCTCTGCCAAAAGGGACAGTGTTAGCCCTCTCAACTTCCTCTTTGCTGGTGAGGCCTAGGCCCTGAGGCATGGAAGAGCACATCTGTATGGGATTTTGACATCACACCTGCTGGAACTCAGACAAACCTCTGCTCTACTCCACCAGCTTTGACGAGCCCTCTGTTGTTGCCTCAGCCCAAAGCCCACCCTGAGCACCAAGACGAGGGTGGGTGTGGAGAGTGGGGTTTGGCCAGGTGGACCCAGGATTTATTCTTTAAAAAAAATATTTTTATTATTTTTATTTTATGTGTATGAGTGTATTGCCTGCATGTATGTAAGTGCACCCATTTTGTGCAATGCCCTCAGAGGTCAGAAGGGAGCATCAGATTCCCCAGGAACTAGAGTTACAAATGGTTGTTAGTTGTAATGTGGGTGCTGGAAATTTAACCCAGATCTTCTGCAAGAAGCAGGGTTCTTAACCACTGAGCCATATCTCCAGCAGATTTATTCTTTTCTCTCTCTCTCTCTCTCTCTCTCTCTCTCTCTCTCTCTCTCTCTCTCTCTCTCTTTGTCTTTTTGAGACAGGGTCTCCCTGTAACCCCAGTTGGCCTGGAACTTGCATGTAGACCAGGCTGGCCTTGAATGCACAGAGATCTGCCTGCCTCTGCCTCCCGAGTGCTGGGATTAAAGGTACATGTCACCACACCCAGCAGGATTTATTCTTAAAAGCAATACAGAGATGCAGGTGGAAGCAAAGGAGAATCAGGACAGCCATCTCAAAGAGATGGACCCTAAGTCCATGATCAGATCTGTCCTACAAAATAATAGTGGGCTGCCTCCAAGGGCAGTGAGATCCCTGTTCTTAGATGGAGCTGGTTGCTTGCCATTTGGGGATACTTTAGAGAACACTGGGGCTTCAGATAGGAACCCATGACCTCAGAGATGTGCAGACCTAAGTTTTTAGCCTAGGCTGACCTTGAACTCTCCTGCCTCAGCCTCCTGAGTGCTCAGACTTCAGACTTGCTTCTTTGACTCTGAGATTCTAGCAGACTAAACTTCCTTCTCTAGGTTCAAAGACTCCATATTCTATGACATCACTTGAGGATTCACATAATCTGATTCTTTGACCCTGACTCAGTCTGAAGCTTTTGGGATCTAAGATTTCCTACAGCCCTGTAGAAGAAGGCTGGGAAGCATCTAACCCCTGCTGAGAACTTAGTTATTAGCCACTAGGTGGGGTGGTCAAACCCTCTCCCACTGTCCCCTGCAAATGTCTGATGTCAAGACCCCAGAGAATTTATTTTAAAGAAGGAACTGGGCAGTCTATTGATTGAATGAATTAAAGAATGAGAGAATACAGGGTTTCTCTGGGGTTGGGATGTGGTTCTGTATTAGAGCACTTGCCTAGCATGCTTGAGGCTCTGTGTTTGATCCCCAATACTCTTATTTGTTTATTTTTAAGTGTATGAGTGTACTGCCTGCATGTGTTAAGTGCACCTGTGTTGTGCAGTGCCCATGGAGGACAGAAGAGGGAGTTGGATCCCCTGGAACTGGAGTTAATGGACCATTCTTAGCCATCATATGGGTGCTGGGATTTGAACCTGGGTCTTCTGCAAGAACCGCCAGTTCTCTTAATGGCTGATCCATCTCTCCAGCCCCCCACCCCACCAGTACTCTTTTTTTTTTAAAGCCTCTCCATTTTGTCCCTTCCTCTCCATCTGTATCTATCATGTCACTATCAGAGAAGATTAGGGGAACCTGAAACAATCTACTTTTCTTACTGAGTTCTCTACAGACTGCCCACACCCCTCCAAACATCCCCGAGGGCAGGGACTTTGCCCAGCATGGGGCCTTGTGCTCCATACCTAGAACAGTAATGAATACATCGGTTAACTCAGAGCTCAAGGGACCATCAGTGGAGGAGGGTGGGATGGGGTGGGAGAGCTGACTATGATACTCTCAGCCTAAGGGAGGGGATGGAGATAGGGAGGGGGCAGGATGGCCTATCAGAGCTAGAGAAAAGGAGAAAGGGACAGGTATGATTTAACACCACCTTCAATCAAAGACACAGGTCTTGAAAAAGAAGGCAGCTTAGTTAGGGTCACATAGCACAGTACTTAATGGGCAACCAGGTGTTCCCTCCTGCACATGTCTTAATGTCCAGTGGGACCACCTGATGTCCCCTAGGTGTCTGTCACTCCAAGACTTGGGCTTCCTGGATGAGTGTCCAGTGCTGGATCCCTCAGGGTTAGGTCAACTGAGGCTGGGTTTTTAGAGTGAGCCCCAGGCTGGAGAAGGCACAGACCCCTGACGTCAGACCCTCTCCTCTGAGGCAAAGGGGAGAACCTGGGAAGGGGACCCCAGTCCCAGGGAGCTGGGCCTTGGAGTCCGTGTCCCCTCCAGCTCAATGGTCTAAACCCGGTTTTCGAACCTCCAGGACATCTGGGCAGAGTCCAAGGATGGGGTCTCAGGAGGTTTGTCTAGCCTGTCCCTGAGGAGCATCCCCAACAACAGCCCTATGAGAGGACAATAGGACCCAGGGGCAGGAGAGCGCCCACAGGGTCAGGGGCGGGAGCCAGAGTGGTTTGGGGGAGGGCTTTGGCTTTTGTCTCTCCCTTTGGCGGAGCCGCGGCGCCCACGGGAAGCGTTTCCAACTTTCCAGAAGTTTCTCAGGACAGGGAGGAGGGGGCGGGGCCAACCATATATAGCTCCTGGGCGCGGGGCGGAGGGCGGAGTGGAGCCTGAGTGCCAACGAGAGATAGGAACCCGGTCCGTCCGGCGCAGCCCAGCCCGGCCAGGTGAGGTGCAGGGGCTGCCCGCAGCCCAGCGATTTGGGGGTGCTCAATGGCCGAGAGGGGTCGGATTGCTAAGGGGATTGGAGCCCACTCCAGAGCCCCCAGTCGGGTTCTAGCGGGCAGTGGAAGGTCTGGCATGGAGCAGCCATACTTAAAGGAAAGTTTGGGGGTTCAGGAGCTCAGGGAACTGGTAAAGTGGTGGCAGGTACACAGTGGGACCCGTCCCAGGTGCGGAGGCAAACTTTCTGCAGAACAGAGCTCGCCCAGCGTCCATGGGGAGGGCCAGCTCCGAAGTTGGAGGTGGCCCGGGCTCTGGAGTGCCGGCCTTGGGGCTGGCAGTGATCGATCTCCACCCTGTCTTGGCTCCTCTTGGCCTACGGTCTTGGCTCTTAGGGACCCCCATACTTTGGCAGCAGTCACCTTCTGATCAGCATCCTGTTTAGAAGGTGATGGTGGAAGGAAGGACTTGATCAGCGCGTCTCCCTCCACTCGTGGGGAGTCGGCAGTGTCTGCTAGGCCCTGGGTGATTTGAGTCACCACCCCCAGTCCTCCATTCTGTCCACCGTCCTGCAGGGTGAGGGCTTCCTTTGAGGCCCAGGTACCGGCCCCCTGCCTAGGGACATTCCCGAGGCTCCAGCCGAGGACGAAGCTGGATGAAGGCACTCCCAGTCTGGTCTGAAGGCCTGGCTCTCCTCTTCCTGAGTTTCCTGCTGGGCCCTCTGGGCCGCAGGGCCCGGATCGGAGGCCTGGGGAAAATGGGGGTCTTTGGTTGCCTGGAAGTATGGCCTGGGGCCTGGCCACACCCTCAGATGGTTCCTGTACCCATCCCCCCTTCCCGTCCTCTGGTCCTTTGTCCTCGGTCCCAGGATTCCCTGCAGAGATGTTTTTGTAGTGGCTGACTGTGTAATGGGACACTGCAGTGGTCTGCTGGAGGGCTTTGAGAGGGCAGAGCCTCTGGGATCTGGTTTCTCCCACTGCACAAGAGGTACCCCACCTCCATGTTCCCCATGCCCTTTGGGGACTGAGCCTAGCAGGTCCCTGCTTCCCACATCTCTAGGGGTCCCATCTCTTCACTCTTTTGTTTTCTTTCAGAATGAAAAAGGCAGGCAGTGATCTCCCTCTGAGGCAGTTTCAAGGTACTTTAGACCCTTCAAGTGTCTGAGACACTCTTGGCAATCGCCCGCTCCCAGCATCCACTCCCTTTCTCTCAGAGCTGGTGGTTGGCATAGCCTTAGCTCTGGGCTGTGTTTTTGTGGGACTATAGATTGTCTAACCTCAGCCAGAGGGCTGGCATTTCTCTGTGGTAGATGGGCTGGGCTGTGGGAGGCTGGCTTGCTTGTAGTGACTTGCCTTCTCTTCCTTTATCCTGCTGCTGGGATTAACTGGGTGGCCCTTCTCTCCAGCCCTGCCTCTCCCCTCAGACATCTGAAGTGCAGATGCAAAACTAAGGCCCAGGGAGCTCCTGGAATCTCCAGACAAATACTTGGTACCTCCTGGCTCTAGGGCTGGAAGCCCCCCTCTGCTGGCCTATGGAGATAACACAACCTCTGCCTGCCACGTCACCAGGAGCTGTGTGGCTGTCTGAGGAATCCCAAACTAGTCATTTGGAGCTTTCTTGAGAAGCCCCTCCCAGCCCTTTGAAGGATCTGGTTGGCTGGGGGTGGGGGCTGTCAAGATGGTGGCTGCCACGTGGCAGGGCTGGGGCTAGGCTTTTCCACAAGGGGATGCTGGTGGCCTCTACTGGATTAGTGGTCCTTTGAGTAGGATGGCCATGTGTCTGTTGCTGTGGCATAATCAAGAAAGCTTCATTTTACTCTCATAAATGTCATTGAGTGTACAATGAATTACATGGTCACAAAGCCTGGGCCTAGTCTGGGCATGAGGACCCACTTACCTCCTTTGTACTTGAGAGTGAGGTGTAACTCTTGCACCATCCCCAAGGCATCTGTGGGGCTTTGGTCTTCCCTTCCTGTTTCCTCTCTGGATCCTTTGTACTGTGCCTTCAAGGTCCCAAGGTAGCAGTCCAGGAGATAGGGGACCTACCTGGGCTTTATAGGATGCCAGCATAGTGTCATCTCAGAAATTTAGTGCTCCTTCAGGCAAGCTGGAGTCCCAAGGGTCTTCTAGCAGCACTTCCAATGTTCAATCTTCCTAGAGGAGGACCTTGAAAGGAGATTTGCCAGAGAGCAGGGGTATCCCAGCAGCCCCCACCAGGATTCTTTATAATTTTTCCTTTTGCCCTGCTTGTCTCTCTGAATTGCTACATGAAGTAGAGGAGTAGGTGACCTGAAGAGAGTGTGGGAATAGAGACAGGACTCCTGTTACTGCTGGAGTTTGAGGAGAGGACATGAGGGTATTCTTGAGGTCCCAGATCAGATCAGGCTGTGTTGTGTGGCTGCTACTGTCCCATGGGAGGGCAGAATGGAATCAAAGGAATTGGATGTGGCTCTGGCTTCCTGAGAGATGCAGGAAGGGGTCTGTGATCCACTGAACAGTGACTCACCCCCCTCCCCCATCCTTGTCCTTGCTGCTGTCTCAGGAAATGCCCTCTCCACTCAGAGTTTCCAAGGACTTGGTCCCTGCAGAGTTTGTCCTGGGATTTCCCATCTGGTTCAGGAGTGTGTGAGCCGATGAGCAGGCCAAGTTCCTGCTCAAAGAGAGAAGCCTGGGGCCTGGAGACCTTCACAGTTACCAAGAGTCTGAGGCTAGATGGCCACACCTGCATGCATACACTCAAGGTCACCTTAGGGGCAGCAGACTGGAGCATCTGGGCTCCCCCATTTAATGAGTGAACTGAGCAGTGACTCATTAATGTCCCAGGGCAGAATGCAAGACATGGGGCGGGCCAGGCCCACAGTTCCATCCCACAGGGCATCCTCTGCTTAGACATCTGGATTTCCTGCAAACCCTCAGCCCAGATGCTGCCTTTTCCCAATGGACAAGGGCTCCAAGGCTTGTATGAGATCAGAACTTAGCTCCACATTAACCTATGAGGAGGCAGGTCTGCCCAAGTGGCCCTGACCTTTAGGATCAGCTGTGTTATGTGCCAGGCACTGGAATGTAGTAGGGAACTAGATTCGCTAGGTTTCCTGATCTGGTGACCAAAGTCTTCTTAGGGGCAGAAATAGCTTCATAATTAACTTAGAAATTATGTTTAAGTGTTGAATGTCTCCATTGGAGAGATCAATAGGGTGGACTGGTAATATGCCAGGAACTCTGCTTTAGATGGGGGGTGGTCTGAGAGGCTGGGTGGCTCTGAGTCAGTTCTGGACTACAGAGCTCTGAGCTCTCTTGATCCTGTCCCCAGGGGCTCAGTGGCAGGGGGTGGGCTGGGGAGAAAGGTGGAAACTTAGGATAGCTCTCTCTCAGCCCTCACAGGTCTTCTGTGGTGGTGCACACATCCCACCTCCCAGCCATGCGCTCTCTCTTCCTGGGCACCTTCTGCCTCCTGGCTGTGGCCCTGGCGGCAGAGGTGAAGAAACCAGCAGCGGCAGCAGCCCCTGGAACAGCGGAGAAACTGAGCTCCAAAGCCACCACTCTGGCACAGCGCAGCATGGGCTTGGCCTTCAGCCTGTACCAGGCTATGGCCAAGGACCAGGCGGTGGAGAACATCCTCCTGTCACCCTTGGTGGTGGCCTCATCTTTGGGGCTTGTGTCGCTGGGCGGCAAAGCCACCACAGCATCACAGGCGAAGGCGGTGCTGAGTGCAGAACAGCTGCGGGATGAGGAGGTGCACACAGGGCTGGGTGAGCTGCTGCGCTCGCTCAGCAACTCCACGGCCCGCAATGTGACCTGGAAGCTGGGCAGCCGTCTGTACGGACCCAGCTCTGTGAGCTTCGCAGATGACTTTGTGCGCAGCAGCAAGCAACACTATAACTGCGAGCACTCCAAGATCAACTTCCGGGACAAGCGCAGTGCCCTGCAATCCATCAATGAGTGGGCCTCACAGACTACCGACGGCAAGCTGCCCGAGGTCACCAAGGATGTGGAGCGCACCGATGGGGCCCTGCTGGTCAATGCCATGTTCTTTAAGCGTGAGTCTCAGGGATGGGGTGAAGGAGAGGATGGGACCCTCCCCAAGCCCCTTATCACTCATTACTTGTGCTTAATCCTTTCATCTTAACACTGCTACAACTGGTAAAGGCAGGGCTATTGATAAACCTTTGATAAACTAGATCCAGAGAGGCAGCCAGGTGTCCAAAGGGCAGACATCCAAACTGCTGTATTTCACCACATTCATATTCTTGCTTACATGGATTGGAATCAGTTAAACTCAGTAATCAGTTCAGCTTTTACAGAATTAAAGAAAACATAGCAGCAGGCACTGTTAGCCCCATTTCACAAGAACAGAGGCCCAGTTAGTAAGCAACAAGACTGGGGCCTGAGTACATCTGAATTGAGCTAAAGGTTAGGTAGGTCTGGGGTTGGTGGCTATGTGTGAGTAACTAGGTGTGTGAGACTGTCCTCAGTTTGCTGGCAGGTGGAGGTAACCCCAATTTACAACGAGGACAGGCTTGGAGAGGTGAAAAGCCCCATTGTCAATTCAGTAGTCAGACCTGAATTGGTATGCAGTCCTGGTTAGACTAACATGAGGCTTGGGTCACTGTCATATATGCATTATTTTTGTTACCTTTCTGGCCACACAGAGAAGAATTAAGGGTGGTTATAGGGTACTCCTTGCCTAGGACACAGACACCCCCACCCCCTCCCAGTTACCTAGTGGAAGAAAACCTACCTCAGCAAGTTTCCTACATACTCCGGGACAAGCGCAGTGCCCTGCAATCCATCAATGAGTGGGCCTCACAGACTACCGACGGCAAGCTGCCCGAGGTCACCAAGGATGTGGAGCGCACCGATGGGGCCCTGCTGGTCAATGCCATGTTCTTTAAGCGTGAGTCTCAGGGATGGGGTGAAGGAGAGGATGGGACCCTCCCCAAGCCCCTTATCACTCATTACTTGTGCTTAATCCTTTCATCTTAACACTGCTACAACTGGTAAAGGCAGGGCTATTGATAAACCTTTGATAAACTAGATCCAGAGAGGCAGCCAGGTGTCCAAAGGGCAGACATCCAAACTGCTGTATTTCACCACATTCATATTCTTGCTTACATGGATTGGAATCAGTTAAACTCAGTAATCAGTTCAGCTTTTACAGAATTAAAGAAAACATAGCAGCAGGCACTGTTAGCCCCATTTCACAAGAACAGAGGCCCAGTTAGTAAGCAACAAGACTGGGGCCTGAGTACATCTGAATTGAGCTAAAGGTTAGGTAGGTCTGGGGTTGGTGGCTATGTGTGAGTAGGTGTGTGAGACTGTCCTCAGTTTGCTGGCAGGTGGAGGTAACCCCAATTTACAACGAGGACAGGCTTGGAGAGGTGAAAAGCCCCATTGTCAATTCAGTAGTCAGACCTGAATTGGTATGCAGTCCTGGTTAGACTAACATGAGGCTTGGGTCACTGTCATATATGCATTATTTTTGTTACCTTTCTGGCCACACAGAGAAGAATTAAGGGTGGTTATAGGGTACTCCTTGCCTAGGACACAGACACCCCCACCCCCTCCCAGTTACCTAGTGGAAGAAAACCTACCTCAGCAAGTTTCCTACATACTACATGACAAGTGCCACACAGGTAGTGGGCTGGGACATGAGGACATGAATTCCTTGCCACGTGGGAGTGGCTGGTCACTGACGAGAGATCTGCATGCTCAGACAGGGAACTTTTGCTCTGTGGACTGAGGGTTTGGTGCACATAATGGAGCAAAGGGCCTGTAGCATGGACAAATCTAGGGTATATATATTTGGGATGTTTATGGGCTGTGATTGTGTCTGGGGACATGGGTCGCTGACCCTGTTTTCTGTCTGCCACAGCACATTGGGATGAAAAGTTTCACCACAAGATGGTAGACAGTCGTGGCTTCATGGTGACGCGCTCTTACACTGTGGGTGTCACGATGATGCACCGGACAGGTAGGCACCTTGTTGGACAGATGGAGGGTTCCAGGGTCCTCAGGGTCTGGTTTACCCCCAAAACCCCAGTGTACCCAGCATGCCCAGCACCCTTCACTCTTCACCCAGGTCTTTACAACTACTACGATGATGAGAAGGAGAAGCTACAGGTCTTGGAGATGCCGCTGGCACACAAGCTCTCCAGCCTCATTATCCTCATGCCCCACCATGTGGAGCCGCTTGAGCGTCTGGAGAAGCTGCTGACCAAAGAGCAGCTGAAGGTCTGGATGGGGAAGATGCAAAAGAAAGCTGTTGCCATCTCCCTACCCAAGGGAGTTGTGGAGGTGACCCATGACCTGCAGGTAAGGGTTGGAGGGAGAGGACATGGGACAGCTTCACCCAGTTCCTTAGTGAGTCTGTGCTGCATCACCGGGGCATATAGGCAGTATCAGGGGATGTTGAGGAGGAGAGGTGGGCCCTGTCCTAGGGTAAGGTCCACAGCTAGATACAGTTGGATAGCTGCTGAGTGCCAGGTACCCCTCTAAACACTTGATGTGTTAAAATTAATTTAATCTTCAAAACAACTTCACTAGGGAGGACGGTAAACTGACAGATGAGGAAACTGAGGTTTAAAAAAGGTTAAATAATGTGTCCATAGTCATTCAGCAGGCTAGAACTTGAGCCTATCCTCAGGATGAATTGTTCCTTGTGACCACTTTGGGTAGGGAGCAGAGGCTTAAACAATGATTCTGATGTCCCCCAAACCCCAGCCCTGTTCGTAAGGGATGGAGCTGCAGTTAAACCTTAAGATGACAACATGAGGTGGCTTTTTGTCCACCAGGAGGGAGAGAGTTTGACCTACTGTGGGCAGGGTAGAGCATACCAGGGAAGAGGCAGGGGCCACATATCAAGGAGCTGTGTTTGGTGTCCAAGAACATCTCAGCGGTTAAAAGCACTGGCTGCTCTTGCAGAAGACCCCAGTTCGAGTCCCAGCGCCCACATGGCTTCTAACAACCAACTATAACTCTAGTTCCAGGGGATCCAATGCCCTTTTCTAACCTCCAAGGGCACTGCACAACACAGGTGCACTCATACATGCAGGCAATACACTCAATACTGTCATTAGCCTTTCTCAGCCACAGTGATTGGTGTGTACACACCCATTCTTCCCTGCATCTTATTATTTGAAGCAGGCACTATGGCACTCATTTTCAGTTCCAGAGTAGACAGAGCTGTCCTCCCATCAGTCTTTCTGAGACTTGGGATGTTATAAATCAGTTAGAGGAATTTGTTACAAAGAATCCCAAACTGCTCAAGAGATTCAGAAGTCTGGGCTGAGCAGAGAGGGAGTCTTCACATTCCTGTGTGCTTTGGGCCCATGCAGCATAGAGGGAGAAGTATGGCCAGAACTTGCTGGGTAGCAGTGTCAGGGACTGATTCAGTCTTGGGTTCTGAGTCTGTTTCCTATTTGGTGAAGCAGAGGGTACATGCCTTAGCTGGGTTGCAGGAAGTCAGGGTTTGAAGCCTCTAGCTCTGTGCCTGGCATACAGAAAGTGGCCTGGGAACCGGTGCTTTCCTCTGGGAGGTGCCACTGGGGTGGTGTAGATGGAGGGTAAGATGTAGGTTCTCAGCACCAGTGGCCTCACCTGGCACTTGCTCCCTCAGAAACACCTGGCTGGACTGGGCCTGACCGAGGCCATCGACAAGAACAAGGCAGACTTATCGCGCATGTCTGGCAAGAAGGATCTATACCTGGCCAGTGTGTTCCATGCCACCGCCTTTGAGTGGGACACTGAGGGCAACCCCTTTGACCAAGACATCTATGGGCGTGAGGAGCTGCGCAGCCCCAAGCTGTTCTATGCTGACCATCCCTTCATCTTCCTGGTGCGAGACACCCAGAGCGGCTCCTTGCTATTCATTGGGCGTCTGGTTCGGCCCAAGGGTGACAAGATGAGAGACGAATTGTAGGGTCCCAGGGTGGGCATGGGATGGCAGGAAGTAACCGAAGGTTATGAGACACATGGGTGCTATTGGGGGCGGGGGGAGATACCAGCCTTGGATATCCATGGGGTGGGGGAGGGGGTGGAAAAGCAGACCTGGGGCTCCCATGTGTCTGAGCGGACCTTCCTAGCTAGAATCCACTCCGCTAGAACATGGGGTCCAGATACCATGACTTGCAAAGCCTGGGGACCCCACAGTCATCCTGTCCTGCCCTCAAAGTTCTAGATCCAGTCTGCCTCAACCAGTCAATCAGTGTTCATATTTATGGCCAAGTCCCTATTTGTGAGACAATCGAACTGAGGGCAGGGCAGCCTAGCCCTCTCTGTCACCATCCCTTCAGCCCTTCCCAGCTCCTCTGCCCCTCTCCCAACGTCCTTTAACCACAAAACTAGGTGCTGCAGCCCCAGGACCGGGCACCCCTAAAATGACCCTTGCCTGGCAATGAGTGTTGGGAGACATTGCATAGGAGCAGCTCCCTGACACGCTCTCTCCAAGCCGCTACATTGAGCAATGCAGGGATGAACTTTTGTTTTTCTCCTTTTCTAGTTTTTCAAAGATGGGGGAAGGAAGAGGGAACGTGAGCCTTTGTTGCTTTCAAAATGAGAATTTATTTGTACAATTTTTTTTTCAATAAAACTTTTTCCAGTGAAATTTTGTGGGAGTGTGGAAGCAAATTAAATCAAAGGGTTCCCATGATTTTCTTCCTAGCAGACAAACTCTGGTTTTAACAGCTTGTATCTGGCCTTGGAATGCTGGCAGATAAATTGAACAGTAGAGGATGGTCACTGTGTGCTGTCAAGGGACAGGGTACTAGCTCTGCAACCCTGGAGCGGTTGGGGTTGCAAGACCTAAATGACAGTGCAGGAACCCAAGCACTCCAGTCCTGCTCTGCAAGGGGGCCCACTGGTCAGCTCTCTGGCTTTCATTACAAACTTAACCTCAGCCCAGGGACCAGAGAGGGCAATGGGCACATGGGTGGCTAATAGACTGCCTGATTGGGCTTTTTCGAAGGAAGCTTGTGGGGAATATTTGTTTTCAAGTACCTGTGTGTAGGATTTGTGACAAAGGAGAAGGAACCTACCGTCCCTCACCCCACACTGTCCTCGTGTGCCTCCTGTGGTCCTTAGGGCTATGCCTCAAGAGGAAGATGGGCAGGCAGGATAAGACCCCTATAATTAGGGAGGCAGAGGGAACAAAGGCCCTCCTCTGCAGGATGTGATCTTGAGCAGCAGCTAATTCCCTCTCTACATTTCCGAGTCCACCTAGGGGTTGTTGGGCCACAGAAGGCCCCCTGCCTGGCCAGGGGAGTCTACCAGGTATGGAATGGGCTGAAGGAGGGCCAGCTCTTTTTCCTGGAGTTGCAACAGAATTTCAGAATCCCAGTCCTGACCTGTACTTTGAACTCTAAGTTAGCTCTCAAACTCAAGAGGCTTTGTCACAAAGTGGCAACTTGGGGTCAGTGACCAGGTGAGTACGCAGAGGACTCACTGCATTCCAGTGAGGACTGCTTCAGGGCCTTTACACTGACTGTTCTTTCAGCCTGGCAAGCCAGTGTCAATCTTTTTAAATTCAAGACTTAGCCTGCATGTCACCCCTCAGAGAGGCCTTCCCTGGCAGTCAGGCCATGTATAACCAGCCCCATGCCTGGTCCAGCTGTTCAGCCACACTTTCATTTTCCTGACTTCAGCATTGGGACCCTCTGTGCACTTGCTATACCGTAGCTAGCATGGTGCCCAGCCCACAGAAGGTGCTTAATAAGTGTTCATTCAAAGTGGCCCAGAGCCAGGGGTGGTGGTGCACACCTTTAATCTCAGCACTCGGAAGGCAGAGGCAGGTGGATCTCTGTGAGTTCAAGGCCAGCCTGGTCTACATTGTTCCAGGGCAGCTGGGGCTACAGGGAGACCCTGTCTCAAAAAGACCAAAAAACAAACAAACAAAAAGTGGCCCAGTGGTACTGAGGAATATTCTCCCTCCCCACAAACCATTGACTATCTGTAGCTCCCCCCCACGATGGATGTTGATGGACCTAGTCTTGAGCAGATCTTGTACAAGTAGCAGCCTCCGTTGACTGTGAATTGATGGTTGCAACAGCCACGTCATCATGAAGATAGCATAAAACAGCCACGTCATCATGAAGATAGCATAAAACAGCCACGTCATCATGAAGATAGCATAAAACAGCCACGTCATCATGAAGATAGCATAAAACAGCCACGTCATCATGAAGATAGCATAAAACAGCCACGTCATCATGAAGATAGCATAAAACAGCCACGTCATCATGAAGATAGCATAAAACAGCCACGTCATCATGAAGATAGCATAAAACAGCCACGTCATCATGAAGATAGCATAAAACAGCCACGTCATCATGAAGATAGCATAAAACAGCCACGTCATCATGAAGATAGCATAAAACAGCCACGTCATCATGAAGATAGCATAAAACAGCCACGTCATCATGAAGATAGCATAAAACAGCCATGTCATCATGAAGATAGCATAAAACAGCTTCCTTTCCCTCCTCTCTTTCATTTTTCTGTTCCTTCTGCGACATTCGAACCCGAGCCTTGGAGGGGATGGGGTCAGATGTCCCATTTAGGGCTCCACACTCAACAGCCAGGTATTCTCAGCACTTTTGCTAGTTATGAGTCTGCATTAATTACCATCCACTCACTACAAGCAAGCTTCTCTGACCAAGACTCAGACCAGCACTGATCTATGGGTATAAATGTATTTAGAAGGCAGTTTGATACCATGTTCACTTAGCAAAGCAACAGTTGTCGATTCCCCCGCTAGGGCCTATGACCTCCCCAGCCTTGGACTATTGACTAGATTTACAGTACCGGGCAAGAATTCCTCCTGTGGAGTGGCCTCAAATCCAATCACAAAGTGGCTGGTTACTCCCATAACACATGCTACTGCTGCGTTAGTACTAGGCACATCTTGGCTCATATTGTAGCTCACAGGGTCCAGTGCTGGGTAAGACCATGGATCCTTTTCCTCCCCCAGCAGCCTGGCTAACACCTGGCACTGTGAAAGCTAGCCCTCAGGGTGGAAGCTTCCAGCTCAGTTCCAGCTTGATTTGTGTTCTGTAACTGAAGTGTGTGGCATCTTCAGCAATAGTCTTATGTGGCTCTGGTGCCATTTACCCATTCTTGGTGTAGGTCAGAGTTTAATTTCACACAGAGATAAGAGATAAAGGAGACTGCTAATCCCAGTTCTATGGTTTCTTAGGGCAAAAGTTTGGTACCTCCATCATCAGTTTGTCAGCTGGACTCTATTGCTGGTTCTCAAGTGAAGTTTAGGGCAGAAATATCAATGAGAATGGGGCAGGATACATACATGTAGGAGGGTTGGCCAACTTAGAGTAGCCCTGGCCCTCAAAGTGGAAGGAGTCCTTGCTTTGCCTGATAACACTGCTGCCTCCTGGCCTGAAGACCTTGACATGACCTTGGCTTGCAAAATGTTGTAACTGTTTGTTGCTAGGTAACAAGCCACAACTTACAGTGGCTTAAATAAAACAAGTGTTTCTTGCTCTTCACAGCTCAGTGGGTGGGGGTGGGGGGTTGTTTGGGAGGTTCCGCTGGCCTTGCCTGGTTTGCTTAGCCAACTGTTCATGGGATACTGAACCTGTGAGGGGCTGAGCCTGTGAGGGGGTGCATGGCTGAGATGCTGGGCCTCTGTTCTTCATCCCAGGTTCAACCACAGTAGCCTCACCCCTTGGCTAAGTTACCTGCTTTAAGTTCCTCCTATGAGATTCTGGAAGATCCTTTACCAGAGCATTCAGAAATACGTAAGGGGGGGACATCTTTGCTGTTTGTTCTGTGAAAACCAGGGCAACTGGAGGGAGATGTTGCCATGGAAACAACTCCGTGACTTCCATGGAAGTGATAGAATCTCAGAGGAGAACAGGCAATGGTACCTAAGACCACAGTCCTCAAAGGATAGCAGCATGGTCTGACCCACAGGAGTTTTCAGAAAGATGAATCCATCGACAGCAGGATGGGAAGTGGCCAAGGAAGACTAGCTTTTGCTAAGTCACCTGTGGGACCTGGAGCTGGGGGTGCCGTAGGTTCTCCTCAACTTCTGTAACTGGAGCACAGGCCAACTTCCTCCAGACCTGGCAAGTAGATGCCTGACTTGAGATTCTCTGAAAGACATGTAGGCCTTTCACCAGAGTCCCTAGGAGAAGGAGGGACCAGCACCCTTCCAAAAGGGTCCTTGGGTTGCTCCCAAGATGTGTACTGTAACTCTTGACCTTCCACACAGTTTCCCAAGCCACTTCCCTGCACTCCAAAGGGACAATCTCTAGCCTCTGCAGGATTAGAGGAGGTTGAATCCTCTAATGTTAACTCTCCAGGTCCCAGAATGCCACTATGCAGAATCTCAGGTGGTCAGGTGATAACTGGAATTTTGACACAAGCCCAGGCAAAGTGAGTCCAATGGGACATTGGACTCACTATTTCTCTCATTTTAAAGTACATAATTGGAATTTACACACACATACTTCATATAGGAGCTTCCAGCTAGACCCATGGAATAAGTGTTATGATGGAAAGGATTAACTGGAACTCCACCCAAGTCTTTCCCTTCTCAAAACCATCATAAATGAGGATCTGGAGAGATGGCTACCGGATTAAGAGCACTGACTGCTCTTGCGGAGGACCCAAGTTTAATTCCTAGAACCCACATCTGTCTATAACTCCAGTTCTAGGGGATCCCACGCCTTCTTCTGACCTCCTTGGGCACTGCACAACATGGGTGTACTTACACACATTCAGGCAATAACTCATATGCATAAAAAATAAAAATAAGCTGGGCATGGTGGCGCACGCCTTTAATCCCCTTCTTCTGACCTCCTTGGGCACTGCACAACATGGGTGTACTTACACACATGCAGGCAATAACTCATATGCATAAAAAATAAAAATAAGCTGTGCGTGGTGGCACACGCCTTTAATCCCAGCACGCCTTTAATCCCAGCACTCAGGAGGTAAAGGCAGGCAGATCTCTGTGAGTTGAAGGCCAGCCTGGTCTACATAGTGAGTTCCAGGACAGCTGGGGCTACAGGGAGACCCTTTCTCAAAAAGACCAAAAATAAATAAATAAAATGAATAAATAAAATAAGTATTTAAAAAAATCATAAATCAGAAGGAAAGCTGTGATTTGGGGAAATCACAGATATTGTCACTATCAAACACTTGGAAGAGACAAGAGATTATATCTTTTAAAAAAATGTTACAATAGGGCCGGGCGTGGTGGCGCACGCCTTTAATCCCAGCACTCGGGAGGCAGAGGCAGGCGGATCTCTGTAAGTTCAAGGCCAGCCTGGTCTACATAGTGAGTGCCAGGACAGCTAGGACTACAGGGAGACCCTGTCTCAAAAAGACAGAAAAAAAAATGTTACAATTGTATGTACTTAGTGTGTACATGCTTGCGCGTGTGGACATGTGCATGCGTAGGTATATGTGCAGAGGTTAGGGAACAACTTTCCGAGTTGGTTCACTCCATCCACCTTTATGTGGGTTCCAGGGATTGAACTCAGGTCCTCAGGTTTGCACAGCAAGCACTTTATACACTGAGCCATCTCATTGGTCCCTCCAGGGTTGATTTCTGTCGTACTGACTTAGTTCCCATATTTGGCTATA